CACACGCTCAGGAAAACGCCCACTTCGCATGGCTGGTGAATGAAATTGGACATGCGCACACACACTCACGTTTTTTGATGGTTGCCGCCTCGCGCTCATATGCAACGGCCGGGGTTACGCGCGCGCCAGGCTCATAGCGGGCAGCGCTATACGCCATCCGGGCAACTATGGCAAGGAGAAAGGGAGGACGAACCGACAACAAGCCGGGGGAAGGACTCGCTCGGAAGACGAAGGAGGCGACACGGGCGGCAGGACAAGCGACACAACGGGCGGACGATCGACGAGCCGAAATTCAGCGAGCGAACGAACGACAATCGAAACGACCGAAGGGACACGATAGGAAATGGCATAATGTTATGGAAGACACTGAGCGCCTGGACGTGCGGTTCCCGTGAGGACACGAAGGCTCGCGGGAGGGAACCCTCTTCTGGGACGGCGCCGCATCAAAACCCCCAGCTGGGGCAGCCAATCACACCTCCGCGTCAAGAGTAACGTCGCGGATGACAACGTCTGGAAGAGAGCGAAAGAAAAGGTTGAGCTGGCAGGCTAAAAAAAAACCATGGTGAGCGAAAAACATAGGAGCTCCCTAGCACCATCCGAAAAGCTGGCGACATTCCCGATGACCCCTTCGTGCCAGTGTGCGGTCACGAAATCGGCTCGACCAGGCAGGACCCCCAAGCAGGGACGCCACACACCCGCTCTCACGCACACACACACACACACACACACAACACAACACAACACACACACACAACATATCTTCCGACGCGCCAGTGGGTTGCAGCCAACGGTGAACAATCGAGCAGGGGCATCGGCAAGAGAGTTCACTTCTGTGGGCACCAGCAGAGCACAGTGACTCACAACTACTGCTGGACGCAGCCACCCGCTGAAGTCTAACATGTAAGCAGTGCAACATTATGCACGCCTACACACACACACACACACACGAGCACACACACACACACAAACAAACAAACAAACAAACAAACAAACAAACAAACAAACAAACAGACAACCAACCAACCAACCAAACAAACAAACAAACAAACAAATAAACAAAAAAACACGTTTGTGGGGGGCGTCGCGGCCCTGCGCACAGTTACACAGCGGAGAAAATCGAAAAGCAGCAAGCGCGCGTGACTGCGCACGCCCGACCCCTCAGAGACCGATCAGGGCCCCGCAGCCGCCTGCAGCCATAAGCCATCTGGGCGTGGGTGGCAGGGGGAGCTGGGGGAGGACGAGACGACGGTGGGTACCACAATCCATCCAGGACTGGATGGCGGGGGTTAAGCAGCGTGGAGCAACACTCTTTTTCCAGCGTGCAGGAACCCAGTGGCAAGGAGGGGACAAAGAAAAAGGGGGGAGGGGCGGGAGGCAGAGGGAGGGCAACAGCGGCCGCGCCGCCGCCCTCAGGGCGGCCCCGGCGCGCACCCACCCAATTAGTCAGGGGCGCCCGGCCGCTCTTGCAGACGAGCCTGCAGGGCCGCGCGCCACCCGGCGTCGCGGCCGCCAGCGGGCTCCGCAGGCAGCAGGAGCAGCATGGCGGCCCGCGGCGGCAACGCGGGAGCCCAGCCGCCGCAGGGCGGGCTCGCGAGCCGCCGCCAGCACGGCGCCCAGCACCCGCACTTCAGGCAAGCGACCCACGCCGGGCCCTGCACCGCCGCATGCGGTTGCCCGGCGTCGCATTCAAACAACGCCCTCGCCGCGGCCGCCTGCCCAGGGCCGGGGTGCTCGGGGGGCGCGGCAACCGCCGGCGGCCCAGGCCGCGCCCGAGCCCGCGGTGCTGCGGCGGCGGCGACTGCTGCCACATCCCCCTCTCGCGGCGCCCGTCTGCGGCGGTGGCCTGGCTCCACCCAGCGGCGCCGGACTCTGGGCCCAGCTGGGCCAGCGCGGCCGTGGTTGGCCTTCAGGGCTGCCAGCTCCACGGCGGCCGCCGCGCGCTGGACCGCCGCGAGCGCCTCCAACTGCCGCGTGCGCTGCTGGAGGAACGCCAGCGGCGGGAGCCAGGCCTTTGCACCAGCGCCAGCCAAAGTGTTCGCCGCGTCGTTCCCGGCCCAGGTCCTCCGCCGAGATGCCCCGATCGGCAGCCTCCGCCTGCGTTACGTGAGCTTTCACCTAGCGAGCCCGCAGCAGCCCCGAGCGGTAGAGCGGCGCGATCGCCTCCCACAAATCAGCATGTTGCTAATTCATCGGGTTCGCGCCGCCGCGCAGCGCGACCACCCCACGCGCGACGAATCGCGAGTCGGCGACGACTTCCGTTGGCGCCCGGGCCAGGCTGCACGCGTGCGTGGCAGCCCAAAGCTCCGCGCGCTGCGCCGTCTGACGGCCGCCCACAGGGCCGTGGCTGTCGAGGTGCCCGACGGGGAGGCCTTCGAGGCGCGCGCCCGAGCCCGCTCGAGCGAGCAGCGGGTCGGCTGGGTGCAGACAAGAACCGTCAGTCCAAGCGCGGATCCTCCCCTGCGGCAGCTCTGGCGTGGCGGGGTCTGGCAGCGGCGGCAGCTGGAGCGCCTGCTGGGCGTCGCTCGCCAGGGCCCCCAGGTGGGTGTCCAGAGGCAGCACCGCGGTGCGCGCGACCTCGGTTGGCAGGCAGGCGCGGACGGTCACTGCACGCCAACGCCGCGGCGGGGGTGGTCTCCCACCGCGGGCAGAGCCACAGCTGGTGCTCGAGGACCTCCACCGCGGCGCCGCAATGAGGGCATGCTGGCGGCCGCCCCCACCTTGCCGCCACGGACTCCGTGATCACACTGCCGGAGATCACCGTCCGTAGCGCGCCGGCGGCGTCAGGTGCCAGCTTCCCGGACTCCAAGAGCTGGCGCGTCGCCCAACGGTCGACCCCCCCCGCCACAGTTTGGAAATCGGCCTGGCGCCGCGCGACCTCGCGGGCCTCTCGCCGCCCCCAGGCTTCCAACAACACCGCGCGCGTATCAGGAAGGGCGCGGGCTGCTGGGCGCCAGCCGTCTGGGGCGACGGGGATGCCCGTCCAGGCTTCGACATCCGCGCCCAGGTGCAGCGCAGCCATGCTGCGGATCGCGGCGGCGATCGGGCCGAAGCGCCGGCCGTGCCCGGCAGCCATGACGCCCGCGGCCTCCCTCCAAAGATCGCCAGGGAACCGCCGGCGTCGGAGGGCCTTGGCAGCCTGCCCCAGCGGCGCGAGCACTGTCACCGCCAGTGGGTCGAGGCGCCAGCTCGGCGCCAGGACGCCAAAAACGATCTCCGCCGAAGCGCGCAGACCGCCGCGGCAAGCCGTCCTCTTCGCCGCGGCACGCAGGCCGGCCAACTCGCGAACCGGAGGCCGCCCACAAGCTGCGCCGTACGTGCCCGCCGCCGTGCCAGCTGCAGCGCCAAGCAGGCAGCAGCGTGGAGGAACACACACACACAAACAAACAAACAAACAAACAAACAAACAAACAAACAAACAAATAAACAAACAAACAAACAAACAAACAAAACAAGCAAACAGAAAACAGCACACACACACACACACACACACACACACTGTCGGCGGCGCAGAGGAACCTCAGGCGCGGTCGGCAGATGAAGTACCAATGGCGGACGAACTTAGTCGAACGCGCCGTATCGAAAAAGTCCAACCACGGCCATACAGACAGGTGCAGGAGGTGAAAAGATGAGGCATCATGAAGCCAAGGTGCAGCGGCCAAGCATCCCGCGGAGCTAGCTAGCTCGACGACAGGACACACTCTCTCACACACACACACACACACACACACACACACACATTCACACACACACACACACACCGACCCTGATCTAGATCTTCCTACCCCCCAGATCGGTGCACACGCCCTTCGTCCCTTGGCCAGGATAGGCATGTACACCGATCACGGGCCGAGAGAGAGCCTGGCCAAGATAGGTATATTGGCCGAATATCAGGTGATCCAACGCCCCCACGCCCAGCGAAGGACTGCCCAACCTTTACCCCCCTACACGCGACCCCCCCCTCACGCTAATACCACCAGCTCGCTGGGCGGAGGTGGTTTAAACCGTTTCCTCTTCCAACCCCCTTCTTCCCCATACCGCTGGATCTGGACAGGACGCCTTGCGACCAATCAAAGCGTCCAAGATGGCCCACGAGGGATCCAAGAGGGCCTCAGAAAGCCCAAGATGGCCTCCAAGATGGCTAAATATAAAGCAAGATCGCTCAAAAAAGTGTCCACCGTACCCCAAGAGCCCAGGACCGCTCCGAGACGGGTCCAAGTGGCCTCAGAGCCTCTCAAAAACGCCTCCAAAACGCCCAACTCCTTGCAAACCTTCTGGACAATCAATCATGCGTGCCGTCTCGCCGGTTCGCTTACGATGGCCTGAAAACGGCTCCAAGCGGGCCCTAAGAGTAGGGGAACAAAAAGTCGATCCGAGAAATCCGCGCGGACCTCCGAGTTGTTATGTTTATGTCACTTATTGTTCCCCTAAAGAGGGACCAAATGGGATCCCGAGGGCTCCAAGACGGCCCCAAGAGCGTCCGAGAGCGCCCAAAGAGCACCCCAAGAGAGTTCCGAGAGGCGATTTGAAGAGCTGCGGAGGGGGCTGCCGATCGAGGAATTCGGGCCCGCGTATTCTTTGGTGGATGTCCTCCAACAGTCCCAAGAAGCCTCCGAGGCCCCCAAGGGGGCCCCAAGAAGGCAAGAGAGTCCCCAACGCTCCCAGAATGGCTTCAAGAGAGCTCCAAGAGCACCCAAGACGCTCCAAGATGCCCCTCAAGAGCCGGCAAGAAACCCTCTAGGCGCCCGAAAATGCCTCGAAAAGACCCTCAAGAGTCACCAAGACACTCAAGGAAGCATCCAAGGGGCCTCCAGCCTACACGGGCCCGCGGCATCTCCAAATGATGCTGCGCTCCCCCGTTCAGGGCAGCTCCTCTGAGCATCGTGTCTGGCTGGCCTGGTGGGGATATGCGAGGCGTTACGGCTTGAACTGTTTGGGGAAATCGGACTCAGTCCGCGCCCACGACAAGACGAAGCCGCAACGACCGCTGCCGAGCGCCGAGCCTGCCACTCGCACAGAGCGCCCCGGAACTCGAGCGCGGCGCTGCGAAGGCGCATCCAGTCGGCGGGCGCCGACCAGCTCAGCACCAGCCCGAGGGCACCGCAGTCGCGCACTCAGGGCCGCCCGCGCTTTTGCCGCCCCAGGACGCCGACCGACGGTCGCCTACGAGGGCAGGCCAAGACGGCGACGACGACGACGACGACGACGACGACGACGACGACGGCGACGGGGCACGCCGCGCGCACACTTCGCGCTCGCCCGCACACTCATCACGCGCGCCCGCCTCCCGCGCGTGGCCGCGGCGGCGGCGCGGGTTGGACCGCGGGGGGCCGGGAGTGCGGTGGCAAACTCGGTACGCCCGAGAGGGGTACGGAAAACAGTGGGCACAGTGCTCAGCAGCAAATGTTGTCCAAATCCGACAGCGCCCACTGTCGGGCAGGCGGTCCCCTGTCTCAAGCGGACGCCGTCCGCGGCAAGCCGAGGGCGAAACCTGTTCAGATGGACAGGAACCGCGGTCGATCTCCGTAAACAGTCTTTACGTAACAGTTCCGATCGCGCCGATCATGAGGTGCGCCCAAATGCGCAAGATCGCCCGACCCCCTATCTCACACAAGACCAGGACAAGGACAAAATGGGACCGGGACAGCTCGGGGATCTCTGAGATCCAGCGGTCCTGGAAGGCGTATATGGGCACGCGGCCAGCTTTGGGCCTCTCTCCAACGAGGAGGAGGATGGCAGCTTCTTGACCCCTCGAAGGCGAGGGCATTTCTGGAACGCCCCTCGTGTATCCAGTCGAGCAAGCTGGTGCTGGCAAGAGTTGGTACATTTCCGTCCAACCTCGCCTACATAATCAGGCTGCCTGCAACGGGCTCGCACCGAGTAGCACATGTACCGCCCAGGCTGGCGCTCTCCCACTTTGAGCCTCCTGGGGAGGTTGGATTGTAACTAATCCCCCTCCTCTTTGACCGATCTCCTCCAAGATGGCCCCAAGATGGCCCCCGAGGCTCCCAAGAGTGCCACAAGACTGCCCCAAGAGGCAACCAGCAGGCCCCAAGAGGCCTCCCAGCGGTCCCGAAGAGACTCCCAAGAGACCCCCCGGAGGCCCCAAGAGGCCCCAAGAGACTCCCCCGAGACACCCAAGACGTTTCCCGAAGCATTACCGCTCGCCCGTTCCAGCGCACCCCCGACCTGCTAAGGCACCTCTGCCAGAGCACGCGACAGGTCCCGCCCTTCGTGTGGATTCATCTCCCGCCCTGGCCTCCTGACACGTCCACCATAATCACAACACCCACTCGCTCCTTTCACATCAGGTAATGCCTCCTCCTCCTCCTCCTCAGTTCTGACTGCGATTGACAACTACTTGATCCTCATTGTGTTATTGTATATGCTAGTCCCGTCAGCCGCTGTTAAATGTATACCCCATCTGCCTCACTAACGCCTCCACTTGACATTTACACCTGCATATCCGCAAACGACTCTCTCGAAAAGCTCGCCGTCCTCTGCCCAGCATCGCCATGGGCGGAAGGCGCGGCTCCTTGAAAGCCATGCCACTAGCTGAAGCCGAATACGATGAGCATTCGTCACCGCTTGCAAATGTCACTCACACGGCAACATTGTAAGACACAAAAACAAACAACCTAACGTATCCATGCGCTCTGTCGAGCCCGCTCGTGGGTTGAAGAAAAAGCAATTCGGTAGCACGAACTGTCATGCTTGTCCTATGACCACACATCGTTAACCCAGCCTCGAAAATACAGAGCATGTCGAAAACCAGTGCGACCTCGGAAAGGTTCATACTGCTTTGATGGAAGTTTCACCTGGTGGCATGTCGATAGCATGGCTGTTGGGATCTAGCTGTGGAGAAGGAGCAGGAGAGCGGAGGGAGCCCAGCCCTGCTCGATGCCACGACGCAGCGGCAGCAGTGCGAGACGACGAGTCACCAGCCGAACCAGGAAAGGCATTGCTGCTGGAAATGGAGATGACAGTTCTGCGCGGGTGCGTGCCTTTGGCAGCCGACGACGCGGTGTTGTAATATCAGGGGCGCCGACACCGCTACAAACGCAACGACGGGAGCAGAAATGCCACGTTTGGCACGCAAGCGATCGCAAGACGATCCAAAGGGCGCTCGCGATGACTGTCCTAAGGAGATGGGGCGACAGAGTCCACTCACATCGCGGCCAATGGTCTGCACATTGAAAGAATGCTGCCGCTTCAAAGACTGCCTGCCAAGGTCTGTCGGAAACCTAGTTTGCGTAGTCCGGCAGTTCGTCTCCAGCGTTCCCCCGGGCGCATAGAATGCAACCAGAAACGAGAGAGCTCGGGCGTACAGGTCGATTTCGCCCCATCGACTTCGGATATCCCAGCCAAGCTGGCATCGACTACCCATCGGTCGGAAGAAGTAGGTAGAAACATGCAGTAGGAAGACTTTGAAAGTAGATTGGGTTCCGTCCGCCCCGCAAGGGGAATGGAAAAGGTCGAGCCACTCGGCAACTGAAGCAGGAAGGTGCTTAAAATACATGGGAATATGGGACTCCAAAAATACCTACTTTCAACGACCGATGGGTAGCCCCCGTCATCCCCCTCATACAGTGGAGGCACGACCACAAGAAACCTTCCACAAGAAACCCAACCCTGAGACCCTAGGACGTCCCTGGGTTTTTGGCGTGGGACCGTCACACCTTCCATCGCAAAACCATCGAGACACATAAGCTCCAGGGAACCCTGGAGGCGAGCAGGGTGCTTCTTGACATGGGCCCCCACTGTACTTTCAACGACCGATGGGTACAGCCCGGCATCCCCCGCATACGTTCACGTGCGGTGCACACGCATTGGACCAACACGCGCATGTCGCGGCAGTCCCCCGTGGAAAAAAAACTGCGGGCCGCACGCGCACGCCCATTGCGCGACCGTGCCGCAACCACTCAGAAAATGGAGGGGTCCGGGAACATGTCAGGATAGAGTATTTCTAACATTAGCCTGGCAAAAGACCCAACCAGTGACTTCCTCCTCCTCCTCCTCATCATCATCCTCATCCTCATCCTCATCCTTCCTCCTCTACTTCCTCCACCTCGACCTGCTCCTCTTCCTGCTCATCCTCCTCCTCATCATCATCATCATCATCATCAACAACATCATCATCAACAACAACATCATCAACATCATCAACATCATCAGCATCAGTTGTCCTCCTTCTCCGTTTCCTCTTCCTCCTTCCCCTCCTCCTTTTCCTCTTCCTCCTCATCATCCTCATTCTCCTCCTCCTCCCCCTCCTCCTCCTCCTTCCCCTTCTCTTCTTCCTCCTCTTCCTCCTCCTCCTCCTCTTCCTCCTCTTCCTCCTCCTCCTCCTCCTTCTCCTCATCCTCCTCTTGCTCCTCCTCTTCCTCCTCCTGCTCCTCTGCTGCTGCTCCTCCTCCTCCTCCTCCTCCTCTTCCGTCCTGCTCCTCCTCCTCCTCCTCTCCTCCTCCTCCGCCTCCGCCTCCTCCTCCTCCTCCGCCTCCTCCTCCTCCTCCTCCTCCTCCTCCTCCTCTCCTCCTCCTCCTCCTCCTCTCCTCTCCTCCTCCTCCTCCTCCTCCTCCTCCTCCTCCTCCTCCTCCTCTCTCCTCCTCCTCTCCTCCTCCTCCTCCTCCTCCTCCTCCTCCTCCTCCTCCTCCTCCTCCTCCTCCTCCTCCTCCTCCTCCTCCTCCTCCTCCCCTCCTCCTCCTCCTCCTCCTCCTCCTCCTCCTCCTCCTCATCCTCCTCCTCCTCCTCCTCCTCCTCCTCCTCCTCCTCCTCCTCCTCCTCCTCCTCATTCTAGCATGCGGCCGCAAATCGCGGGGCACGTGGCGGGTGGACGCGGTGGGCGGGGAGACGCGCGCGGGCCACGCCGCTCGGGCTCCCAGTGGAGCAGCGCATGGGACCACGAGACGTACGAGGGGCTTGCCAAAAACTGAATTTGTTTTATTCGGCGTGTCAAAATTGGGCGGAAGGGAGAGGGGTCTGGCTCGGGACCTCTGCTTAGTGCGACTGTTTGCAGCACTGGGTCCTATGAGAAGACTCCACCTGCTCGAAACACGTTCCCAAAACAGCCAACGTCTACTCCAAGGGGAAGGGGTTTGGGCGCCCGCGCCGATCGGCAAAACAAAATACATAACGATCACAGATACGCCCGGGGGCCCACGAGTTTCCTGCCACGGATGCCTTCTGTTGGGCCCCCACCATGGGGCCACGAAACGTGTGAGGCGCGCGCAAACATGCGCCTGGGGACGCAAGTGGTTCCTGTCAGGGCGGCCTTCCGTAGAACTCCCCATGCGGCCACGAAACGCGTGGGAGGTATGCGCCCAGGGACGCACGTCATTAATGCCATTGCGGCCTCCCGTTCCACGAAGCGCGCGAGGGGTGTGCCGAAGCGGGCCTGTGCATGTGATTGTTGCCACCGCGGCCCTCCGTGGAGTTCCCTGGCGGGTAGAGTTCCATACGGCCAAGAAACGCGCGTGGAGCAAGCCAACATGCGACTGGGCACGCATGTAACTCCTGCCACGCAGCTTTTCAAGGCTCAAGTTGATCATCAAAAACTGATACAGCCGAATCAGTAAGATACTTGCAACGAAAAACTCTTCGAACACAGCACGACGAATGCACCAAAGTCAACGTTCTGGAAGTGATGGTCGAGTCAGTGGAAACAAATCAATATTTACCAGCAGACTTAAAACACGGCGGGCTATGTAACTTATACGAAATTCAGGCTTGGTCGAAACACGATGCGAAGCAACTGGCTACTTGCAGCGCGAAAGAATTTCTCTTACATGGCTCGACCAGCGAAGCGGTCCCAGCGCGATTTGCGTGGCGCGGAACTCGGCGTCGACTTTTATGCGCATAGATATATATATATATATATATATAATATATATATATATATATATATATATACATACATATATACATACGTACATATACATACATACATACATACATACATACACATCGACGCCCCACCACCACCACCACCACCACCACCACCACGCGATTACACATATTCGTCTCTACCGCAGCCGCCGATCGACATCTTCACTCTCCGTTTCCTTCTCCTCCCCCTACCCCTCCTCCTCTACAATTACTCAATATGAATACTACACTCCCTCTTCCCCTGATGACGGTTTGAAAGTGCTCGACTCCCCCCCGCGTATTGGTTTTTACACACAGGTTTCCCCGGAGTTGGGTTTTCGAATGCATTCTTTTCAAAATGCTGCTCTCGCTGAGGCGACGGCCTCATTTTCGGGCCCCGCTCGTTCCGAACCGTGCTCCCGCTGCAGCGCTGGCCTCGTTTCCGTGCTTCCGCTCGTTCCGAATCGTGCTCCCGCCGCAGCGCTGGCCTCATTTCCGCGTTTCCGCTCGTTTCGACTCGTGCTCCCGCTGCAGCGCTGGCGTCATTTCCCGTGCCATGCCAATGCATGCAATGCAATGCTAGGTTGATACTACGCTTTGCTGCGGTGCTCTTCTACGCCATGCCAGGCCGTGCTCTACAATGCATCGCGTACCCTTTCGGGATCATGGCCCTGCTCGACATCCGACTGTGCGAATAGAGAGGGGATCTACGCCATGGTAAGGGATGGGAGGGAGGGGTAGGATGTCAGACATGACGCGAGCGCACCTAGCTTGCCTCCCCCCCCTCCCCCTCCTCCTCCGGAATCAGCGAAACCGCGCAAACCCCCGAAAAGCTTCAGAAAACCAAAATAATGACTTCGGGAGAACATCCGGGGAGACTGATGTTATGTTTGTGTTGCTGGTTCCCTGAAGCGTTTCGGCGGTTTTCCCGATTCCGCTGACTCCGAGGGGGAGGAGGAGAAGAGGGGGGGGGGTCCTCCGATCCGCTTCGAGGCGTCACTCACACATCACATTGCGAACGCAACTCCACAACTAGTTGTGCGAGCAAGCTCCTGATACGAAACTCTACTCACAGAACGCATTGTAAACGCCGCTCCACAACTAGTTGCGCGAATAACGCGTTCCTTCTCACATCCGTCATGCCCCTCACCCTCCTCTTCTTCCTCCTGATATTCCTCCTGCTGCCCCCCTCCTCCTCCTTCTCCTCTTCATGTTGCCCGCTCCTCTCCGCTTGGAGGCGTCACTCACAAATCGAGTTGTGAACGCAGCTCCACACATTGATTTGCGAGTAACCTCCTGCTACGAAACATTACTCAAAAAACCTAGTTGTGAACGTCGTCGTTCCCCTCGCCCTCCTCTCCGTTCCCCCCCACCCCCCCACCCCCCTCCTCCTGCTGATCCCGCCCCTGCTCTGCACTCTGCCCGCTGCTCTCCGCTTCGAGGCGTCACTCACGAATCTAGTTGCGAACGCAGCTGCACAGCAGGTTTTGCGAGCAATCTCCCGCTGCGAAACATTACTCGCAAAAATAATTGTGAACGCCGCGACACAACTAGTTGTGTGAGTCATGTGTTCCTCCTCGCCTTCGCCGTGCCCCTCGCCATACTCTTCTTCCACCTCACCCACCTCCTCCTGCTGCTCCTGCCCCTGTTCATTCTGCCACCTCCTCTCCGCTTCAAGATGTCACTCGCGAATCGAACTGCGAACGCAGCTCCAAAAAAAACTGCGCGCGCAACCTTCCGCTACGAAACAGTACTCACAAAACTAGTTGCGGACACAGTTCCACAACTACCTTTTGTGGGTAGCCTGTCCATCCTCACCTTCGTCTCTGAACCTCCCCCCCCCTCTCTTCCCCCCCGCCCTCCTCTTCCACACCTGCCTCCTCCTCCTCCTGCTGCTCCTGCTCCTGTGCATTATGCCCGTTGCTCTCCGCTTCGAGGCGCCACTCGCAAATCCAGCTGCGAACGCAGCTCCACAAGCAGGTGCGCGAGTAATGTAGTGCGCCGCACCCTCGTCATGCTCGTCATCCCCCTCGCCTTCCTCCTCCTCATCCTCCTCCTTCAACCCCCCCGCCCCCCCGCTCCTTCTCTTCCCCTTCATCCTGCCCCCTTCTCGGAGGATTCGTAGTGAAACCCTCGACAGAAACGGAAATAAGGCGGATGAGGAGGAGGAAGATGAGGCGAACGAGGAGAAGGTGTCTACTCAAAGTCACCACAGAAGGATTCCCAGCGAAATCTCCCACAGCAGGGCGACACTCCTCACAATGAGGAGAGGTAGGCGGATTAGGAGGGCGAAGGAAAATGAAGCGGGCAAGGAGGAGGGGGGCGCAGGAAATCCTCCACATAAGGATTCCTACTGAAATCTCCCACAGGAAGATCCCATTGAAACCCTCGCAAAAGCATTCCTATTGGAATCCTTCACAGGAGGAGTCCTATAGAAATCCTCCACAGAAGGGCTCGCGTTGAAACCTTTCACAACAAGGAGACCTAGGCAGATGAAGGAAGAGGAGGAGGAAGAGGAGGCGGATGAGAAGGAAGAGAAGGAAGAGGATGAGGCGGACGAGGACGAGGACGAGGAGCGGGGAGAAGATCCTCAACGAAAGGATTCCGAGTGGTGGATTACAACGCAGTCGATTGGATTGCAATGCGCAGCCATGGATTGCAGTCGCTTTGCCTTGAAGTGTTTGGAATGCAGCCCTTTGGCTCTTCTTCGAGTCTGCACCAATCCCTTGGCGTGCAATGGATTTGGCCACATCGGTTTAGACTACAATCGGCTAGGTTGCGGATGGCAACGTAGCAAAACATAATGAAGAGGAGCAGGATCGGGGACAGGGGGTGATGAGATAATGTGTTGATTAGCATCAAGATCTCTTTTCATCTTGAGCCAAAATAGGTACACGGAGGAGGGTGTCAGAATCACTCCTCCTCGGGCCTGGCCGCCAACCCGGCCAGGCACGACATGCGTCGTACGCGGGCGCGTCCAAGCCGACACGCCCTTCTCAACGTCACACGCGGGCGCGTCCCAGCCGACGCGCCCATCTCGTCACACGCGGGCGCGTCCCAGCCGACGCGCCCATCTCGTCACACGCGGGCGCGTCCAAGCCGACGCGCCCATTTCATCAGCCGGGCTGCGGCCATGCCGCGAGCCCCTCACTTCACCCGTCCGGTGCGATCCTACCGCCACCGGCGGAAACTCATCCAGCCCCACAGGTAGCGGAGCATGGATTCGATCCACTCCTTCACTTGATGTCCTTCTGGGTCGAACTCGGTGCCCGATCCCAGATGTTGAGCGTCGCCATATGTCTCCTCAAGAGAGATCCACCCACGCTCTTAGTCAGCACGTCCGCGACGTTGTTCTTACCAGGAACTGCGGCGATCGAAAGGTCGCCCTTGCCTACACGCTCCTGGATCCACAGGTATCGTGACTGAACATGTCGCATCTTCCCGAGACCTCGCCGTTGGACGTGGCCCCGGGCCGCCGATGAGTCTGAGGCGAGCTCCACCTTCAGGTCCAGCCCCCAGTCTGCGAAGAGGCTGTGTAGACCCAGGCCCACGCTCCCGCCCTTGACCAGGGCGTAGTACTCGCTCTCCCCACTGCTCAGAGAGACCGTCGACTGCAGATTGCTGCCGTGCTTGATGACGTGATGCCCCAGCATCGCCACGAAGCCTCCCGTACTTTTCCGAGTGACTGCACAGCCCGCATGATCGGAGTCCACGTACACCCGGATCTTGTCGAACATCTTCTGCTCCGTGAAGACCGTCACCGTACTGGGATGCCGCTTGAGGTAGCGGCCAACCCTCTTGAGCATGAGCCAACTCGCCTCCGTCGGCGTCTGCATAGACCTGGCGAGCGTCTTCGATGCCTCTGCCAAGTCCAGCCTGTCCTGAGACAGGTAGGCTACCCTCATGGTGAGGGATCGGAAGCGCGAAGCTTCCGCCGCTCCCAGCGCCGCTGACTTCGCGTCCATCATCTGCTTGTCGGCGCTGCGCTTCTCCATCGGCGTGTCCACGCCGTTGGCCTTGCTGAGACCCAGCTCGTCGATCACGATCTCTGCGTGCCGCTTGTCCGGCTCAATCATCGCATGCCGGCAGGGACGGCCACCGCCAGGCGGAACTCCCGCACTGACTTCGATGACCCGATTCAGGAAGACCGCCTGCTTGTCATCGCCCTCGTCGAAGCCGAGGTTCGCAGTCTTCTTGAACTCGTACTTCTTGCCCAACGTGGCTTCGAAGCTGTCGATGTCCTGCTGCTGAGCCAGCACCGCGAAGTCGTCGCCGTGCCCCAGCAGCCTTGTCTCGTCCACCTCCTTGTAGAAGACCGCTGGGCATGACATGCCCGCCTTGTAGCCGTGTTCCTCCAACAGCTCCGTGTAGTCGCCCTGCCAGATCTTGCTGGCGTCCTGCGTGCCGTACCAGGACTTGAGGAGTAAGCCACACTTGTCCTCGCCGTACTCCTTGCGACTCTCCTCCTCCAGCTCCACGAAGATCCTTCGCTGCGCCTTCCCGTAGAAGTGCGCCCTGCTGATGTCGAAGAAGCCGATCTTGAAGTTGCCCGGCTTCCTGCCCTTCTTGCGAAGCGACTCCTGAATGTGGAGCGGTGCTTCCCGCGTCCACGTGACCATCAGCGAGACCAGCGACCGCATGGCCTCCAGAGGAGGCATTGCCGAGAAGACCTCGGACGCCTCCAGCTGCTCGTCCGGACGCTTCTTCGCCTTGATCTCCTTCACGACGAGCCTGCTCCTGTAGTTGGGCCTCTCCGCGTCGCCCTTGTTCGTGTCGACCCACTTGAGTGGGATGGGCGGACGCCCAGTCTCAGCGAAAGCCTGAGACCTCGGGACGATCTCGATCAGCTCCTGCTTCTTGACCCACTCGCGCTCGACCGCGCGAGCCTGGGCCACAAGGCCTGCCTCCAGGTAGCCGCCGTTGACGTCGTCCCAGTAGCTCGTCCAGTCCCCGGGCGGCACCGCCGCGTCCACCGGGACTGGGCCCGACTGCTGCACCTGGGCGGTGCTGAGCTCCCCCACGTCGTTCAGCGTGTCCTTGAGCTCCTCCAGCACCGCCTCCACCAACTTCGGTGGATAGACCTTCGCGAACCGCGCGATGCCGCCCACGAGCGTGATGTGGCGATGCCACTCCGCGCGTCCGTCCACATTGCTGCAAGTGCCCTGCAGTCTCCGAGCCAAGCCTGGGTGGTTGGTGACCCACCCGGTCTCCTTGCGCACGAACTCCTCCTGGCCACTGCGTGGGTTCGTGAGCTTCATGCCCCACCGACACATGGGGCCTTTGACCGTGAAGACTCCTGGATGCGCGACCAGCTCCTTGACGATGTCCTCATCCCACGATCGCGCGCTCCAGGGATGCTCATGCAGGAAGTACCTGCCTGGTTTCCTGAGCTGACGCCAGTAGGCGTCGACTGCCACCTTCAGGTGGTGTCTGGCCTCCTCCATCTCAGCCGCCTCCTGCTCATCGGTCCTGAACTTGGCGCTCAGGCCCCTCAGCAAGCTGAACTTCTCGCATGGAGGGGACCCCGTAAGCAGGATGGGATCCATCCGCTCCTGCAGCTCCTCGAGCTCCTTGATGTCCTCGGGTCGCCGCAAGTCCCACGGCGTCCCGTCCTCCTTGAGTTCCTCCAGGTCCGCCGCGAAGCCCGGGCGCAGCTGGAACTCCGCCGCTCGCGCCGAGAACCGATGCGGCGAGTACACCTCTGCCACGTCCACGGCGCCCAGCTGCAACGCCGATAAGGCGATGCTGTCCACCTCCTCGTCGGCGATGTCCACGCCGACACTGGCCCAGTGGCCGCTGACCTGTTCACGAACGAGCGGAAGCAACTCCGCCTTCGCTCTCGTCAGCACTCCGAGCTCGACCAGCTCGATTGACGCCACGTCGAGAGCGAGCACCCGCATGTGTCTCCCCTCGCTGGCGTTCCACACGACTGCCACTCCAGCTGGCAGCTGAGGTCCTTCCGCTGGCGCCGGCTGCGCCGCGAGGTCCTCCATGTCCACCGGTACCGGCACGTCTGCCGGCTGTGGATCACCGCGCTCGAGGGCCTCCGGCACGTCATCCGGGGCCACCTCCGCCAAGCGCTTCAGCCGCGACCTGGTCGCGGTCATGTCGACATCCTCGGCGGCCTCTGCCGCTCTCACTGCTCCCGAACTGGAGCTCGCTCCTCCTGAAGGAGCCGCCACGCCGGAGCCTGATGCTCCCGGCTGGCTCTCTCGCATGCGCGCCGCTGCTGCTGGCGCTGCTGCTGATCGGCTCGCGGCCGGCGCCGACGCCGCCGCTGCCACTGGCTCGGTGATCCTCCGAGCCGTCTTCGGCGGAGGGGTCCCTGCCGCGGCCGCTGCCGCCGGGCGGACTCTGGCCTCTTGGCCCTGCCTCCGCTCTCGATACTGGCCGGTCCTCTCCCGGCCTGCCTCCTCAGCGTCCAGCGCTTCGAAGATTCTCTTGCTGCACACCGCGTTGTGCGCATGGCCAGCCAGCACCTTGCCGTGCTTGGCGATCGAGACGCACCCTGGGCATCCCGGCGTTGCGCCCAGCCGCTCGACGTCCGCCTTGAGAACGTACATCCTCCTCGGCGCCTGCGGCTGCGGCGGCACCACCACAATCGGTGGCGGACCGGCCTCTCCCGGTCCGACGATGGCTCGCGGCGCACTGGCCGCACGCGGAGCCACGTCCCACGGCAGGCCCTTCAGGCTGTCCCAGCCCGCCGTGATCCACTTCTCGCTCTGCGGCAGGCTGCGAAAGCCGACCGCCTTCTTCACACCGTCGCTCGTGATGACCATCATCGAGCCGTCGCGCGGGTGGTGGCCAATGTAGCGGGCCTCCACCATCTGTTCCTCCAGCGCGTTCTTCCTCGTGCGCTCCCCGGCGAACCGCACCATCAGGCGCTCGCCGAAGAGCGGGACCGGCTTCCTCCACTGCCGTCCCGTGAGCCGCTGAAGAGCGGTCTTGCCGTCCTGGCCGCGCCTGTATCGGTTGATCACCGATGCGGCGTGCTCCGGCAGGTGCGCTAGCACTGGGTGCTTGTCCTCCACCTTGACGCCCAGCTTGGACTCCAGGTCCATCTTGAGCGCTCGCACCTGCTTCTTGATCTCGCGCACCGTGACCTCGATCTCCCCATTGGCCTGATGGTCGGCCGGTGCCGACTCCTGGGGAATGGCCTCGAGGCCAGGAACCTCCTCCACCGCACGCCTCTTGACCAGCAGGATCGCTGGCTCGCCGTCGGACTTGTTGACGATCTTCCTGTAGCCCAGGATCCGTAAGAAGCGTGCGAAGAACTTGATGGCGTAGGCGTCGTCGCCCTTCTTCTCCACGAATGTCGCTGCCATCATCTTCGAACGTCGATCCCGAAGGACCAGCATCGGCATGGTGTCCGCGTCGTCCTGGCCCATGAAGGCGTAATCGGACGAGACCACCGGCACCGCCGTCTCGTCGTCCTCCGGTGCGCGGAGATGCGGCTGGCCTTGGCCCTTTGCCGCAATGCACACGCGACACCAGCTGCGGTAAGTCGCGTGTCCCATCGCCTCGTGCTCGGCGATCTCCTTCTGAGAGGGCTCATGAGGTGCCTTCAGCACCCTCGGGCGAGCCTCCTCCTCGCCCTCGTCGGCCTGCTGTCCATCAGGAGCAGCTGGCAAAGCGTCAGCCGCCGCAGCTGCTGCTGGCTGAAAACCCGGCGGTCTCATGTCGGAAGGTCCCGACCCCGCCGCTGCTGCCCCTGCAGCCGATGCCGCAGGGGACTGCTGTATTGAGTCTTCCAGTGGACTTACGCCGAGGGCTGCCTCCTGGGGACTGTCCTCTCGAGGATCTCCAGCAGCTCCTCCTTCGACTTGCCGCTGAGTAGCTCCACCAGCTCGGACTTCGACTTCGCCGAAAATCCCTCCTCGAGAGGAGCAACCGAGCCATGTTGGCCCTTCTTGAGGTAGAAGTTGTAAACGCCCTGCTCACGATAGACCGGCAGCATCTGGTGCTTCGCCGTCTTCGCCTCCTTCTCCAGCATGCCTACTACACGCTTGCCGATTGGGCTCTTCTCGTGGAATATCCAGCCGCCATTGCGGCCTAGGAATGAACACTGTCCAGCTCCTGCTGCCTGCCCCACCGAGATCAACGGCTTGTGCACGTTCGTCACGCGTCCCTTGAGCGCTCGTAGCACTCCGTACTCATCCTCCGCCTTGAGCTGCAAGCTGCCCTCGTCCGGGACAAGCTCACCACTGGCCGTACGATACGTGCTGCCGTTGCCCTTCAATCCCGTCGGCGGCGCGAAGCTCCGAGGGAATGCTGAGACCGCTGCACCGCTGTCCCAGTTGAACTTCGTCCAGTCGTCCTGCGCGAAGGGAGAGAGGTCGACCGCTGCTACGCCGCGGCCGCTGCCGCCGGCGAGCTCCAGGCAATCCAAGCTGCCCATATCCAGGGCGGCGACCTCCGCTTCAGGCTCCTCCTCCAGGCTGCCTGCAGCCTTGCCGCCGGCCTTGCCGCCGCGGCCACCACCTTTACCACCAGCGCTTGCCCCCGTTGCGGATCCAGTTCCAGCCCTCGTACTCGATCCCTGCTCTTTCCTCCAGCATTCGGATGCCTTGTGGCCCCATCTCTCGCAGTTCCGACAGTAGCCGTCGAAGCGCACGCCGGTGCTTCGGGGTGCCGTGTGCCCGGAACCACGGCCCGAACCCGTCGGGGATGTGCGGGAGCCTGAGTATGATCCGCTCGTCGATTTGCTCTTCCCCTTCGTCTCCTGGGCCTTGCCTTTCCCTTTGCTCTTGCCGTCCTTGCCCTTGCCTTTGCCTTTTCCTTTCGGGGCTCCGAACGATCCGACGTCCATGTCGTCCGGATGGTGCGCCCGTGCGCGGATCGATGGCTCCTTGATCTTCACGCCTGTCCGAGCCTCCACGATCGTCATCACCTCGTTCAGACTGTCCTGGAACGTTACGAGCCGATGCTTGTTGAGTACGAGGTGGTTCTCGATGTCCTGAGGCACGAGCATCTCGAGGGCCGCCATCTTGATATCCTCCGGCAGCTCGGCCAGTCCGTCCTCTCCTTGGCGGCGTTCGTACTTGCCTATCTGCTGGATCCATTTCTCTAAGGCGGACCCCAGCTCTTCCGCGTTGCACTTCGGAGGCGAGATGATCGATCTCAGGATCAGCCTCTTCCTCGGACCTGTCGTCGGGTCCCACCTGCGGTGAAGTTTCCGCCAGGCCTCGAGACCGTTCCCGTCTGGCGCGCCCGTCACGAGGTCGTTGCTCTCGCTGCCGTCCGCCGTCGTGCTGATCAGCGCCGCGTACAGCTGGTTGATCTTGGTCACCAGCTCTGGTACTCCTCCGTGCGCCTCCTGTGCCCCTTCGATCGTCACGGGGCGTTCGGCTTCTGCCGCCCACCGGAGAACAGGACGGAAGCTCTCTCCGTACACGCCTATCACGTAGTTCTCCATCTTGCGGTTCCAAGCTCCGAACTTCTCCTGATCGTCGCCTAGCGTCGTGGGCTTGCCGATCCCCTTCGTGTCGACGAGACCTGGTGCGGCTCCTCCCGCGTGCGTAGCTCCTCGGATCTGCTCGCCCATGCGCTCGATCGCCTGCGGAATCGCCGCGAGGCCTCCGGCTACTTGTTGCTGAAGCCGCTGATTCTCGTTCTCGAGCCTCCTCATCTCGTCGACGGTCTGACTCATGCGGGCTGCGAACTCCTGCCTCAGTAAGTCGAACTGCTGCCGAACTTGCTCGTCCATGTTTAATTGCGTGCTTCCTGGCGAGCTCCTCCTTGCGTTCTGAGATCTCCTGCCTCGTACGCTCGAGGTCTATGATCTGATCTAAGACCTCCTCCTTCGCCTCCTCGATTGCTCCTGACGAGTTCTCCGAGGGATGGTCCTCGATGTACGCGAGGTCGTGCAACTTGTTGCCCGTGTCCTTCAGGCCGTGTTTGAACTGCAACTGTCGTCTTCGATTCTCAACAGCTGCGTCACTCCTCTTGCCGCGCCTGCGGCCGCTCTTCGGTGGTCTCCTCTCAACCTCTGCCGGTGGTCCGGCCTCTGCTGTGCTCGGTGCGGCTGATGCCGCTCTCTTCCAGCCTCTCGCCTCGGGCCACGCGCCCTGCCAGCTCGCCGTGGCGCCGCGCGCGCCGCGAGGCCCTGGTGGGTCGCAGCAGTGAGTGGCCAGCTCACGCTACCATGATGAGATAATGCGTTGATTAGCAACAAGATCTCTTTTCATCTTGAGCCAAAATAGGTACACGGAGGAGGGTGTCAGAATCAGGGGGGACTGGAGGGATGAAGGGAGAATGTGTATGATCATGTGGGGGCGGGCGAGCACATATATATCTATATATATATATATATCCATCCATCCATAGAAATGCAAACCTACCGAGATAATTGCAGACCATGGGAGCACTCAACACATACATTAACAATCATAGCACCAATAACAACAACAACAACAACAACAACAATCATGTTAAGACTGTTCGCTCTTATCTGCTCGAATGTCCGTTCACGCGTATTTCCCAAAACCTCGACACCCGCCCTCTTCGTCGTCGATCGTACCCCTCTCGGGGGGTAAACCTTTCTCCCCTGAAGGCCAAGCCCCGGCGAGCGGCGGGGCAGCCGCGGACCGTAGGAACAGCGCTGATCGGCGGCAACCCGACCCCAAGAGGACGGCCACGACGTCGACGACGACGACGTCGACGACGACGAGGTCGACGATGACGACGACGACGGCGACGACGACGACGACGGCGCCGAGCGAAAGCGAGAGAGAGAGAGAGAGAGAGAGGAAAAAAACAAAAAAAAGAAAACGACAGCGGTGCCACCAAGGTAACAAAGTACGCCACGAAGGGCGACAGCGCATGGGGCCACAAACAGCGCGAACGAGCAGGGGTCACGAAGGCCAGATAATGCAGGGCCACCGAAGGCAACGACCGGGCCACGGAGGGTAGCAACTGGGCCACGTAGGTCAGCGAGGCTCCCGCCAAGTGTTTTGACGGTAATACTGCGGCTACGGGCCTGGGAATTTGACGAGCCTGACTAACTACAGGTACGAACAACTGGTTCTGAAAAACAAACGGTCAAATCTTCAACGTTCGCCCAAGCGACCCAAAGTTCTCACTTGTGCGCCCGGGCCGGGCGATTACAAAATCTAGATACTAGTACTTGGGATAGAATCCTGATGTATCGGGCGGACATTTCTGCTATCGGATGAATGCTTGCCCTCTCCAATGATGAGCCCAAACGAATTGTCAAATTCCCAGCTGAGCCAGCCCCGGAATTGCGCCCGGGCCAGGTAGGCCGACTGGAAGCTGGTGGTAAACCGTACCTGCAATTTTTAGGCCCGTAGCTATAATATTACTACAAAAACACGTGGCGGAACCAATGACTGAGATAATACGTGTTTGCAGTTGTTGAACTGATATTGAAGTTTCTTTCTCGTCGCATTTTCAGCGCTACTTCGCGAGCTCTACGAGGGTCCGGGCGGGAACCTAGCTGATGGTTTACCGCCGTTTCCCAGTTGGTTCACCCGGCCAGAGCCGTCAGGCGAACATCTGAGTAGTGGGTTATGCCGCGTCCGCCTGTGCACTTCTCAGGCCCGCAGCTGCAATATCACTACTGAAGACGTAAAAAACCCGACTGGAGGCCCGCGGTAGACCGTCAACCAGGTTATTGCCGGGACCCTCGTAGAGCTCTGCACGCGCGAGGTACTGCTGAGAATACGACGAGGAAGCTGTCTTGAATATCAGCTTGAAAACTCCAAAAATATAACATTTCGATTTTGCACGGTGAAATTCTCAGGGCTGCAGCTGCGTCACACCTCTCGAGAATTAAATGAAACCGTCGGCCACCGGGATGCATTTTCCAAATGAGAACGGTTTTGTGAACTTAACTCAAGCAGGAAGCAAGCTACGCAGCTCCAGTTTCGTCTGCATATGTAATAGGTTACGACGCGTCGGTCTGTCGAATTCTCACGTCTGTAGCTACAGTACCACTCTCAGAACATTTGGAGGAATCTGCGTCGCATACAACCGAGAGAATATGTTTCCTACTTTTGAAACAGATGTTTGAGGAAGCTTTGCCGTCGCATTCTAAGCAGTACTTCGCGCGTGAGGGGCTCCACGAGAGTCCCGGCGGAAACCCGGTTGCCGCCGGGGCCCTCCTAGAGCTCTCCACACACCAAATCAGTGCCCAGACAACGAGGAGAGAGCGTTCTCGAATGTCAGCTTGAAAACTCACAAAATGTACTTTTCGGGTTTTATACGACGTAGGTTCCCAAAAATGTTTTGATCGAATTACTGCCTATACAGCCCTGGAAACTGCACTATCCATGATCGACTGCAGGGATCAAAAATCCGGATTCCCAAAACGAATTTTCAAATCTCTCACAATCTTCGAAAAGCCGACGCCAGGTCGTCAAATTGTCCGCCCGGGCCGGGCGGGCCAACTGGGAGCCGGCGGTGCACCGTCAAGCTTGGCTACCGCCGGGAACCCGTAGAGCTCCCTTGCGAAATACACAAACGGTATGCGGGCGCGGCAATCTCGCATTCCGCGCGCGCGAGGGCGCGGTTCCATGAGGAGGACGCGGAGGAGAAGAAGGAGCGAGGAGGAGAAGGAGGAGAAGGAGAAGGAGGAGGATAACGAGGAGGGGTAGGAGGAAGAGAAGGGGGAGGAGAAGAAAGAAAGAGGGGAAGGAGGAGGAGGAGGAGTAGGAGGAGGAGGAGGAGCAGCCTATGAATGCAGCACAGGACCTATATATATATATATATATATATATATATATATATATATATATATATATTATCTCTTGCCAAATATTGCAGAGTGCTCAATTGTAGCTCCGGTGGCACACCAATCTCAGACGTCTCGATACTCTAGGCGACGGTATGATGATTCCCCGTTGAGCGGTGTCCTTTCCAGCGCCCTAAATTGCCTATAACTTGATTCCAGAAATCGAACACCGTCTCCCATATTTCTGAAAGATGCAGCTCTGCTAGCCGATTGGCATGCATCTCAGCTCCGTGGCGCCTAGAGCTCAAATGTAATTCAGGAAACGCACATCATCGCTGCTAAAATATTGAATATTTAGCCTGCAAAACTTCTTTCCAGTCGTAGACGTCCCGATATCGTTGGCGAATGTACCCGATGACCTTCTGCTTCGAGAAGTGCACCCCAGCTTCTTAGCCAGCATCGAGAAGTGCACCCCGAGAAGTAAAGATATCGATCATGATCTCTTAAAGCATTAGCAGAGTACGATTGGTTGTTTGGTTCCAGCTCTGGTAGCAGACCGAATTCGGGCATCTAGATACTTGAGACGAGCGCTCCGGATGATGCACTTCCCATTGCTGTGCCAAACAGCTCTGTAGCTCATCTGCAGTTCGAACTACACCAAGAAAGGCATCATCATCTCAGAAAAAATCAGCAGAGAACAGAAATCTTTTTGATTGCAACTCTGGTAGCAGACCGAGTTCAGGCATCTAGATACTTGGGACTAGCGCTCCGGATGGCGTTCTTTCAATTGCTGTGCCAATAGCTCTGTAGCTCATCTGCAGCTCGAGCTACATCAAGCAATTCATCATCATCTCTGAAGAAATTAGCAGAATACGAACAGCTTTTCGGACCCAGCTCTGGTAGCAGACTGAGTTAGGGCATCTAGACACTTGAGACTGGCGCTTCTTATGATTCCCTTTCAAATGCTGTGCCGAACAGCTCTGTAGCTCATCTGCAGCTCGAGTTAAGTTCAGAAAACCGAGAGCACCTGCCAAGATGACACTAAACAGCCGATCCCGCCCACATGCTGTTTGATAATATCTACCCGGTCGACCTGAGAGTAAGATGGCGAGCGGGAATAATATCGAATGCGGGAGAAAAATATTAGAGCTCTAACGAATTGCCATATTTCGAGAACATGATTTTAGATGGGCCACAAAAAATAAACCTTCCGTCCATATTTTTCGGGTCAACTAGCCCCCCAGCGCACGGGAACTGGGAGCCAGCGATGAACCGACAAACCAGGTTACCGCCGGGGCCCTCGTAGAGCTCTTGAAACGCGAAGAAGTGATCAGAATACGAGAGAGCTCCCTTCGAGATGAGCGTAAAAAATCGAACATACGTTTTCTTAATGTTATGGAATCTGCATTCGCGAAGTGCGTCGATAGTGATACCACGGATACGGGCCTAAGAATTCGACGGGCCGGCGCGCCACGACTACATGTGCAGAATATACTGAAGATGGGTAGCGTGATTCACGCTTGAGTTGAAGTGCCCGAGTCCATTCTCGCATCGAGAAATGCATACCGACAACCGACGGTTGCTTGACGTCTTTTGACAGTAATACTGGCTACGAACCTGAGAATTTGACAGGCAAGCGCGGAATCACACACTACACGTGAGAAAAATACTGGTTTCCAAAATGGGAGCCGGCGGTAAACCGTCAACCTTGGTGCCAGCCGAGAATTCGCAGAGCTTCCTTATGATATACATGAGTGGGACGCGGGCGCGGCAATCTCGCATTCCGCGAGGGCGACGGCGCGGTTTCATGGAAGAGAACGCGGAGGAGAAGAACGAGCGAGGAGGAGAAGGAGATGGAGGAAGCTGAGAAAGAGAAGGAGGAGGAGGAGAAGAAGCAGATGGAGGATGAAGAGGAGGAAGACGAGGAAGACGAGGAGGAGGAGGAAGAGGAGAGAGGACAAAGAAGGATGTAGCTCGAGCTGCAGATATTGAAGTTTCTTTCTCGTCGCATTTTCAGCGCTACTTCGCGAGC